CCGGCAGCGCCAACGACTGGCCCGTCTCTATCTCTCTCTGTGTGGTCGTCCGTCGACACACACTATAGTTCATGCCCAAAGTCTCTTTTCTAACTCGTATACGTATCTATCACACTGTATTATCTATCTTGCACGATTCTTTTGTACTACTACTCTTATACCGTTTTTCTGTTATCTCGTACTCACGGTAGTGGTCAGTTTTTGCTGTATTCTTTCATTTAATAAAATAGAGTTTTGCTTCGGTTTAACCGCCGCTTCATTACTCGGTCCTTCCTTCCGCACCGAAACATTCCCAACAGGTTATGGGCCCAGTGCCTGCGAACGACGACACGAAGCATTGACCGCTATTAAGATTATTGCGCGCGCAAAAACACGAGTGTGATTTTCGAGAGGATGGCTCACATGAATACCATCAACTCCACGCGACTCGAGACATTGAGCAAGGATAACTACGACACGTGGGTGATGCAAGTGGAGGCACTGCTCGTTAAGAATGACACGTGGTCCTATGTACGTGGCGAGAAGCCTCGCCCGGAGAGTCAGGGCATCGCCGATGACTCGGCGACACGCGCCGCGATTGCTGCATGAGACATCGAGGATCGCAAAGCGAGATCCGACTTGATTCTCGCCATCAGTCCCACGGAATTAAAACAGGTGCGTGGCTGCAAAACCTCAAAGGACGTGTGGGACAAGTTAAAATCCATATATGATTCAAAAGGCCCTGCACGCAAAGCGACGCAGCTTAAACGCCTCGTACAGGCCAAGATGTCGGAAGGCGGCGACGTGAAGGAGCACATAGCTCAATTCTTCGACGCGGTCGATAAACTAGAATCGATAGATATCGATATCAACGGAGATCTCTCGATCATGCTCCTATACAGCTTACCGAGCAGTTACGAAAACTTCAGGTGCGCGATCGAATCTCGCGACGCGTTACCGACCGCCGAACAACTTAAGGTAAAGATTATCGAAGAGTACGAGGCGCGCAATCAAGTTACGATTAACGAATCGGGTGCAATGCTCGCTCACCGCGGCAAGTACAACGCGAACGCCAAGTCTCACAAGAACACGCCTCTACCGCGCAACGAGGCCGAAGGAAAGGCATCTGCTCGTTTCAAGTTTAAGTGCTCCTTTTGCAAGATTCCTGGACACAAATACGCAGACTGCCGAAAACGAAAGAAGCAGGCGACGGAAAAAACGAACAGCGCTGAGACTGAGACATTTTACGCGGACGTCGCTCAATATTCGTCATCTGAAACTCCCAAGCACACAGGTACGAGCAAATGGTGTTTGGACAGCGGTTGCACCTCTCACTTATGCAAGGACACTCGAATGATATCAAAACAGATACGCATGCAAAGCGATATCAAATTGGCTAACAGTGCAACAAGCATGGCGGATGCAAGGGGGGACGTCGAATTCATAACAGCCTTTAAAAATCGAAATAAAACAATTCGACTGGAAAACACCCTGCACGTTCCAGACCTAAGGACAAACTTGCTGTCCGTGGCCAAGATCGTCGACAGAGGCTACCGCGTCACGTTCGATTCAAACCAGGCAACCGTTTACGACCCTCAAGGAAACACAAGTCTCGTCGTCAAACGCGAAGGTGACCTGTACCTGCTGGAAGGATCCACCCAGAGAGCCAACACCGCTACGCAGAAAGAGCGCTCAGACCTCGAAGTCTGGCACGAGCGACTCGGGCATCTCAACACGAACGACATTCTGCAAATGTCAAGGACGCAGGCCGCATCTGGATTCGAACTAAAGGGAGATCACAAAATCTCCAGTTGCAAGGTATGCCTGACACAAAAATTAAGCAGTTCACCATTTGCCTCGCGAGCCCACAGATCTCGGCACCGTCTCGAGATTGTATACTCGGATCTCTGTGGCCCAATGAGCCACAGAAAATGAGCCAAAAAAAAAATATGCAGCTGCATGTTGCAAATTACATATTTTTTCTTAAAAGCAACAATGTGTTTTCTTTATATCAATTAATTCATCTCATTATTTTATGCATAAAAGTATTAAGGTAAAATTCCTGAAAATTGAATGTTTTACAAGATATTTTGTATTTTATGTCAAAATGCTGTAACCTTCAGGCCTCATAACTCGAAAAGTATTTAATGAAAAATAACTTCATTATAGTGTTTCGGAAACGTCTTGACACCAGCTTTAAGAATATGTAATAGAAAAAAGGAGTTTCCATTTAAGATTACAAAGTTGACTTTTGCGGTGTCCTTCAAGGTCACATGAAGGTCATTTCAATATAACCATATAATAGACCACTTAATATACTAAAACTTTTGTATTAAACATTTTCTTTCATAATCATTATTTTCCAAGATTGACCGTTACGGAACTTTCTCCCATCATTGTATAAAATTACCGCTTTTTGATTACCTAACCTTTCTCGGATCGACAACTCGAATCGAATTCTAGTGTCGTAGATCGGTGAACATTGAGATTAACGCAGGCAGTGAAGTGTGAGTTTTGTGCTGTGACTCTCCCTTAAAAAACGGAAAAAGGCGCATAAGCGATAACATATAAGGCGCCAGGAACTATTAAATTGACAGATAATTATTAAAATCTAAAATTATTATATCATACGCAGGTCATCTTTCTATATACAGGGTGAGGCAAAAGTATGGAAACCCCCGAATAAGTTTTGAGGAAGGCATTTTACGAAAAAATGTTAAATACAAAAGTTTTAGGAAATTTCTCTGGCTTTTCAATGGTGACCTTGGATTTGACCTTGACCGTGACCTTGAAGGTCATTTGAAGGTCAGAGTAATTTTTTTAAATGGAAACCCCTATTTTTTATTCCAAATTTTAATAGCTGGTGTCAAGAGCTTTTCAAAACACTATAATGAAGTTATTTTTCATTAAGTATTTTTCGAGTTATGAGGCTTGTAAATTACAGTATTTTGACATAAAATACAAAATATCTTGTAAAACATTCAATTTTTGGGAATCTTACCTTAATACTTTTATGCATAAAATAATGAGACGAATCAATTGGTATAAAGAAAACACATAGTTGCTTTCAAGAAAAAATATGTAGTTTGCAACATGCAACTGCATACTTTTTTTTAAAACCAATGTGTTTTCTTTATACCAATTGATTCGTCTTATTATTTTATGCATAAAAGTATTAAGGTAAAATTCCCAAAAATTGAATGTTTTACAAGATATTTTGTATTTTATGTCAAAATACTGTAATTTACAAGCCTCATAACTCGAAAAGTACTTAATGAAAAATAACTTCATTATAGTGTTTTGAAAAGCTCTTGACACCAGCTATTAGATTTT